AAAGAGAGCAGGTATCGGGCTAGGTTGTGGCTCAGCGGTAGAACACTCACCTAGCACATGTGAGACCCTGGGTTTGATCCTTAGCACCACATAAAAATAAATAAATAAAATAAAGATATTGTGTCCAACTACAACTAAAAAATAAATATTAAAGAGAGAGAGAGAGAGAGAGCAGGTATCCATTTAGAGACCAAAGAGGTTGAGGAATGTAGACGTTAGTTCTTCCGCAGCCCTCTAGCATGTCTAAGAGGAATGAAATACCATTAGTAGCTCTGGATTTGTTCTGTGATTACATATGAACAGTTAAATGATCATTGAAAAATATTATTGATGGGTATCTACACAGTTTACTTTTGTGGCTTTTAAGGTTAGGTACCTCTGTGTAGATCACACTTGGGGCATGTATTGGGCATGTTGCCACCTTGATACTTCCTCCTCTAAATATGAGAAGCTTCTGCGTAAGAAGTCACTTGGGAGCCTTCTTTTCAGTTACATACATTCAGTTACATATATAGCCAGTGCACTCATGTTAATGAGACTAAATCTGGGCCAAAGAGGGAAAATTTTATTATATGCTTTATGTTCAGTACCAGGAACCACCCTCCCTTGAGTTCTACTATCTTCCCTCGGTAGCCTTTTCTTCCTATTCTGTTTTCATTAAATGAACTTCTCAATCTAATATACCTTTATATATATGGTTTTAAAATTCTTGTACAATCAAAACTCCCATTTTCTTTCTTCAACAAAGCAGTGCTAGCCAGCTTTTCTAATGCTAGGATTTTGGTTAGCAGGGCCCTTCATTTGTAGGAAAGACTGAAAATATAACATTTGGTGGTAGCATCTAGTGGATAGTTTTGCATGGCATTCAAAAAGACATGTACAAGAGCTGGGCATGGTGGTGTACTCCTGCAATACCAGCAACTCAGCAGGCTGAGGTAGGACAATCATGAGTTCAGAGCCAACCTCAGCAATTTATCAAGGTCCTAAGCAGCTTAGTGAGACACAGTCTCAAAATAAAACATAAAAAAAAAAAAGGTCTGGGGATGTGGCTCTGTGGTTAAGTGCCCCTGGGTTCAATGCTTATACGTACCCCCCCCTCCAAAAAAAAAAAAAAAAGATGCATAAGATTGGCTTCTGGATTCCTCTATAAAATGGAGACACCAGAATATGAGCGGAATTTTGCTGACCAAATAAGATAAATTATGTGAAATAATGTTCAGCTTCTTAGTGATAGATACCTATTGTAGAGATATCTGGATATCTTTTCAACTGTATTTTTGTTTGCCTTTGATCTGGATGACTTGACAGTTTAGAATAAACATGCTCAGTAGTGAAATATTGTTTTTAAACATTTACACATATTTGGAAAGTTTACTTCTCATCTATAAATTGAGTATGTGGCATTTCTCAGTATACCATTCTCTAAGTCCATTAGACATGAGGTGCTATTGATCATTCACTCACTAGTGCCAACATTCATGAAGATGTCATTTTTAATTTTTATCTCACCTCATAGAAAGTACTATACAACTTTTACATTTACCAGAATAAGATAAATATTCTAGTCTTCACATGATTTTTTTCTACATCTGTCTGTCTCTTTCCTGTCTCTAATTTTGTTGGTGCATCAGGACTACTGAGCAAGTGAAATTTCTCTGTTTTCTGTTGTAAGTACTTTTGCTGTTGTTTCTGTTTGTCCCTGGGACTGTTGGCAGTTTCCTCTCCCACTCCTGCTCCAACTATCTTTCCATAGCATGTTGGCTTCTATTTTTGAGTTTGATCTTTTGATTATTATTATTTTGCATTTCATTTGCCACTTCATAAGTCAGCTTAGCATTGCAACTGTATGTACCTAAAGGAGTAGAGATGCCCTACCCACCTTAGGTGCGAGAGCTTACGCCCCCGGCTTGGCACACGTCATGTGGCGCTTTAAATACCAAGAGCTGGCTTGGCCTTAGGATCATCACAGCAGTGGTTTGAGAGACTGCTCTGCTATTTAATGTTGTAAATAATTGGATTTTTTTTGATAGGATAAGGCTGCTGACTTGGAGCAGGTAATTATTTTACTGATAAATTTTATTGAGTCAACTCAAGTTTGGTGGCAGTGGGTAGCACTTAGACATTAGGGAAAGAAGACCATGAATAAAGTGGTTGTGCACATTGTATTACTTTATGTGCTTGTTTTAAAATTTTTTTTCCCACCAAAGAAAAGCAAGTTATAACTAATTCTTTTATTGGTCAGCGTGGTATTTTTACTGATATTTTTCAGTTCATTAAAACAGAGCAGAATCTGAATTAGTCCTGTGATCACAAATTATGTGCTAGTCTAAAAATAACAGGTGGTCCCAAGTTTTCCACTGTTCTGGACTTTGTATAGTACATGGTGTTCATCTTTTATCTTACTCCTTAATAAGAATGATAACAATTAATTAAAATACTTTCATACCTTGTTTACCACAGTTCTTTTCTGTAAGCACCTAGGTCTAGACTGGAGCTGTCTTACGAGGCTTCTGTTGGCTTTTAGTGCAATAAAGAATTTTCAAAGAATCTCGTCCAGCGTGATGATTTTTCTGGTAAGCGTCAATGCCTAGTGAGAAAAGACAAGAAGAACCAAATGTCTAGCTGCAAGGCTATCTCATCTAAAAGGATTTTGGTGGTGTATAATTAAAGATGGTAGGGGTCAGAGTACTGATGTTTGACAACACACAGAAACAAGTGAAGTGGTCTTTTCAGAGAAGGAACCCAGCTGTCTTTCTTTGCTCACCCTGTCTCTTTAGAGAAGATTCAGAGGCAGCAAAGCTGTCTCTACATCTCTACTGAGCAGGTGTATGATTTGTGTGGTGCTGTATGCTTTGCTTTTCTCTGCACACACTGCGCTTTGCTCCATCTCATACCTTGAAAGTTGGCATTGTGATTCCAAACTGTCCTGTTGGTCTTTTTTCTCTTTCCAGGAGTGGCTGTAAGGTGAAGAAATACGAAACTCAGTCTCTTGCTTTGGATACTTGTTCTCAGGTAAGACTGTGCCTGTCACCAGAATGTCTCTTAGACCTATAGTCCCTTGACTAGAGTTTGCATCCTCTGGAGGAAGTTCATAGACATTTTCTAGTGGGTGTCTGAGTACTCATCTTTAAGAAAACTAATTTTTAGATCCTTACTGTCCTAAAATCATCTGGGAAGTTCCCTGAAGACAAGGGAACTCTCACAATGACCCTTTTTTATTTTTACCTTTTAGAAAAAATTCCCACTCTAAATCTTAGAAAGATGTTCACCACAGAGTGTGAAAAACTTCCAGGGCACCAAAGGGAAGATTTGAAATATTGGTGTAGGTTCTCAGACAGTAATTGGCTTTACTAACTGAATAATAATTTGTTTAAGTCAGGTGGTTTTCCAGTTTATTGCTTTCAACAAAATAGGATCTGAGTTGTCAGCTGATAGATAAGTATTGATGATAGAATCTTTTGGCACAAAACTTGGGAGAGGATTCAGAGATTTGAAAGACATTTCTATTACAAAACTTTTCTTTAGCTTTATGTTTCTATGTATGTAAATAAGGTTGATTATTGATTTATTAATTTAGAAACCAGGAACAAAATTGGTGCAGACACTTATTTCATTCTAGCAATAAATAATATCCATTGTGACTATATGAAGTAATTGGAAGCAAAAAAAAATCAGGTTTATCTGATTGCAATGAGATGCTTTTTTAAACTTTATTTCAGCATAACTATAGTTACAGAAATATATTCATATTTAATAGATCAATTTAAGTTTAACTCATCCTATATGATTTGGACCAGAAATTTGATGTGTAGCTTAAAATATTAAGAAAGAGGTGGAGGGATTACAATATGAATTATTTTGTTCTTCATCTATTACAAATGTATGAAAGTCCCTCCTTCAAATTTTACCAAAGCAGGCAGCAAGAACAATGAAGAAAAAATTTAAAATGAAGAGACTTATGGTCAAAGGAAAAATTTTTTAAATTTTACAAGGAACCTTTAAAAGACTTTCAGTCGTATAAGTATATTTCACTGGGTTATTTTTTGATGGAAGTGGAGTGGAATACAAATTCAGAAAGAAGAAAGAATAATATGAATTTATGACCACTGCAAAACTTGTTTGGGTAGCTTTAAAATGGGTCACCGGATATCAAATAAGAGGTTTTTTTTTTAGTATATTTTTTTTAGTTGTAGAGTAAATTGCATTAGACAAGATCAGTAGTTAGACTATACCATATATTGCATCCACTGCAGTTATTTAAAGACAATTATCTTAAAGATATTTGTTATTAATTATTTAAAGATACTTTTTTGTGCTGAAAACTTTTTAGGTGAGACTTAAAAACACAATAGGGTGCATGGGTTTTTTTAAAAATTAGGAGGTATCTGAGCAAGAAATTTTGTGAAAACCACTGCTTTAAATCTCTTAAACTGTTTGCCTATAAATTTAGGCTAGAAAAATCTCAATTTTTTCAAACCCTGGACTCAAATTACAAAAGCTAGTTTCTAGAAAACACAGCATTTCACAATTGAAAGACTCCAGCAGTCTTCTGACTCTAGACCTGGCTCTGCAATTAACTCCATTGTATTGGGGCCACTTGCTCCATTCCTGAGGTGTCACTTTTCCCCATTTTTGCCACTTTATTTTTTTTTTAAATATATGCATATATACTAAAAAAATGGATACAGTACCTTTATTTTGTTTGTTTTTATGTAGTACTTGGGATCAAACCCAGTGCCCACACGTGCTAGGCAAGCACTCTACCAATGAGCCTCAACACTTTGCCTTTTTAATAGATAATGTCTTTGTTGCTTTTCCCAGGATGAAGGAGCAGTGATCTCCCAGATTTCAGACATTTCCAATAGGGATGGCCATGCTACTGATGAGGAGAAACTGGCATCCACATCATGTGGTCAGAAATCAGCTGGGGCCGAGGTGAAAGGTGAGCCAGAGGAAGACGTGGAGTACTTTGAATGTTCCAATGTTCCTGTGTCTACCATAAATCATGCGTTTTCATCCTCAGAAGCAGGTACGGAAGCATATCTTCATCTTTGTTATGTACGTAAGCATAGAAATGCCTGAAAGTCTAAAAGTAAGAGATGCCTTAGATAAGAGAATTGGGTCACTTGATGGATAGATTTAGAATGCTTATCTACACTTTGCTTTATCTAGAAAAGAGATACAGGAAAGTGCTTATTGAAGTACTAGGGACTTATGGACGAGTGTGGCAGTATGTTCAAGAGAAATTATTGCTTGAATTTTCTTATGACTTTGTGTTAATGTTGGCCATATCTGAAAGTATGATGGCCTATAAATATGTCGTAATTCTTTGTAATTACTGTGTTCTTTGTTTAACTTCCAGAAATAATAACAATTAGCATGTATAGTGCCATTCCATGTGCAGGCATTGTTTTAAGTGCAATTACTTGTATTAACTCCTTACTGCTCACTACCTGCTGCTCTTTTTGCTATTCTTCAGAGAAACAAAGTGAGGCACAAGAAGCTAAGTAGCTTGACCAAGGTCACTTGGCTAGTATAGGAGGGAAAGGGATGTTTTTTCCTTTCCCATTGCAAGGTTCATGGCTGAGACCTGTATAACAAAAGACTAATGAGAAAAACATACAGATTTATTTAACACAAGTTTTACAAGGTACAGAGCCTTTCAAAATGAAGACCTAAAGATACAGGGAAGATTGTTTTTACAGATAGTTATAGGAAGTACAATTAGAGGAAAGAAAAGTAGATCTGGAGGGAACTTATAACAAGGGCTATTTGTTGAGATTCCTCTCATTGTCTCTGCCTTCAAGGATGAGAATGTTCTTTTTCTCTGAATATTAGGAGTACCTCTCTGGAATAAGGGTCTTATAATCTGTTATCAGGGGAAGATGAGAGAATTCTTTTACGTCTTGCATCGGGGAGAAGGACAGACCTTTCTGCTTCCTCAAATGATGAGGTACCATATTTGAGGGCAGTGTGCTCTGAACACTATCACTAACAAATGGTAGAAACAATTGGAACCTAAGCAGTCTGTTTCTATGGCCTTTTAGCTGTAGTGCTAAAGTGTGGAATGATTATTTTCATTATGCAAGGCTACTATAAGTTTGTCCTGAATGTGATACATTAAAATTGACAAGTACCTTATAAAATTCTTCTTAGTTTTCTAATGAAGAACCTGAATTAACTTTAGCTGAAGCCTTTTCCTATGGGACTCTTCATATCATTTTAGAATGAAGACCCTAAAATGGCTCCACATAACATCTGTGGAACTTAACTTATGAAAGATTTGGAAATGTGTACCTGGTTACTTTCAACATTATTAAAAACTTAGATCTTCTTAAGCAACACAATTCTTACCCACACAATAGTGTAGGCTTTTTCTTAAGAGTTTAGAAAGTCATTCTCTGCCATTCTGCATCAAAGAAAACAGATGGAAAATCAGGACTTTGAGCAATTTATTCTCTTCAGCCACCTCCTAGCCCCTCAGGCCTCAGTTTCTCATTTACTGTTACTATGACAGTTAACTAAGATAATCAACTTATTAAGAGAAAAGGTTTATTTTGGTTCCAGGGCATGATCAGGTGGCCCTTGGCTTTTAGGCCTGTGGTTGGGGTTGCCCAATCCCAGTAGTGGGGGGCATGTGATGGAGCGTAACCGTTCATCTCATGGTCAGGAAGCAAAAAAGAAGTAAGGAAGAGGGTGGAGTCCCACAGTGTCCTTCAAGGGCACCCCACACCCATGCCCAGTGACCTGAGGACTTCCCAGTAGGCCCTACCTCTTAAAGATTTTGCTATCTCGGGGTTGGGGATTTAGCTCAGTGGCAGAATGCTTGCCTAGCACGCACATGGCCCTGGGTTTGGTCCTTAGCCCTGAAAAAACAGAAAGATTTTGCTATCTCTTAACAGTACCATCCTAGGGACCAAGCCTTTGGTGGACATTTAAGATCCTAGCTATTGCACCATGCGTCACATTTCTGGTGTCTTTCTTTAAGGCCTTGTTCACCACTACCCCTTTTACCCCACTTTCTCAATGTTAATTCTTAGTACTCATACCTGCTCTTGTTTCTTGTCCATATCTGAAGTATCTTTCTTTGACATTTCCCACAAAAATTCCACCTTTTTTTCCAAGTCTCTCTGCATGTTCCTTGAGTCCCAAGGAACCTCTGCTCCCACCATGTTTCTTCTTGCCCTTTCAGCTCTACAGTACCAGTGCCATGCACTCATTGTAAGAGGGTGGCTTTTGTATCTATCTTATTTGTCTCCAAGTTAGGGATTATTAGAGATGTGTCTTTGAATTTCCTCTGACACAGTACATGGTAAATATTCATTGAAATATGTTCTTCCCTACTGGAGGAAATTCCTTGAAGAGGAATTTCTATTAGATAACAGCACTATTCTCAAAGTTGGTAAATCGGCTAGTTGGCTTTGGAAAAGCACAAAAGATTTAAACAAGCTGTTACACTGTAACTTGTTAGCTGTATCAAAGGAACACTCCAAGGCTGTGGTCTCTGGGGACATAGGGGTGCTACAGGCTCTGGTACTGGAATCAGAGACTATTGGCTGGAGAGAGAGTCACCTTAGAGATGCTTCTTAATGGATACATACATGGGTGTTCCTCTAGAACCAAGAAACTCTCACTGATGGGAGGTAATCTGCTGTGTTGATATAGCCCCACTAGCTTTCTGTGAGTAAAGGGCAAATGGGAAAAGGAGGTTGTAGTAAGGAATTTGGGCTTGCACTCACAGGCGTGGGGAGGCTAGGAAGGGATTTTTTTGTTGTTGTTTTTTGTCTGTTTGTTTGTTTTTAGCAGGACAGTGATGTTCATATTTGTTTTAAATAATTAACTATTGGCCAAAATAGTATTTAATTATTGCTACATAGATGATTGTAGCTTTAAATTTTGGTATGCTTTTCTGTATCATTAGATTTTCTTCTAAGGGCATATTCTGTTTTTTGTTTGTCTGTCTAATTTAGTACAATATCACCTCTGGTGGTGGAGGGAAAAATAGACCTCACACAAGGTAACTGTTTACAGGGTATAGAGAAGATAATAAATTTAGTTTTGCAGGCTCAAAATTTAAAGCTTAGTATTTTATATGCTGTATTAATTAGACTGAGAGTGAGTTCTTCTGGGCTGGAATTTAAATTCAGACTTGGTAATAAAATAACATTCATTGTTAATAGTTTCCTCTTCCTGAAATAATACCACTGTTAGTACAACTCATTTGCTGAACTTTTCAATGGACACAAGGGGGCAGCCTTGATGTTCTTTCTGTTCGACCATTGACATTCTGTTTATGGCTGAGTGTATATTCCTCTTCTGAATGTTATGGACTTCAACACTAAACAGATCAACAGAACTCAACAGAATGCAAGTGCTCATTTTAAAATTTCAAAACATTGTTGGTATGTTTGTAGTGACTTTGGACCTGTACTGAAGTTCCCAAGAGTCTTTCACCAAGAAAGAAGGAACTTCTTGGAATAACTATAAAAATGACTTTCTGTTTTAGGTGTAGAGAAAGAATCGTGTCAGAAGATGGAAAAAGACGGATCTACTGTACTTGTAAGTTTTCAAATTCGGAGAACAAGGTGGAACTCTGGTTTTCTTCAGTATTTGATTTGAAGCCCATATTATAAATTTGTTAAAGTCTAGTCATTGTTAGGTGATGATGATGAAATTGTGTATGTGTGTGTGTGTATTTCTTTTTTTTTTTTTAGTTGGACACAATACCTTTATTTCACTTATTGATTTTTATGTGGTGCTGAGGATCGAGCCCTGGGTCTGGCAAATGCAAAGAGAGCGCTCTACCACTGAGCCACAAACCCATCCTTGTGTGTGTGTATTTCATATGTACATATGACACATTTTCTTCACTGGAGGAACTCATAGTTTATGCATAATGTTCTATATAGTAGCCAGTAGCCACATGTGACTGACTGTTGAGCGCTTGAGCTGTAGCTAGTCTGAATTGAAATGCCCTGTATGTGTGAAATACAAACAGTTTTTAAGACTTATTACCCCCCCAAAAAGGGATTATTAAATGTCACAGTAACTTTTTATATTGACTACCTGGTGAGATGATGATATTTTTGATCTATAGAGTTAATTAAACTATATTATTAAAATTAGTTCTACGTGTTTCTTTTTATTTTTTATTGTAGCTACTAGAAAATTAATAGGTACATATGACTGCCAGTATATTTCTGTTGAAGTGTACTGATATAAGACACAAAATGCAAACTAAAAATACCCCCTGGAAAATGTTTTAACAGAATGTGTTCAGGGCTGTCTGACTACATGGCAGGTGTTGAGGTTGGATGTGAGCTAATAAAAAGCAAAAAAGTTTTTTCATTACAGAGGATTGAACCCAGGGGCCCTCTAGTACTGAGCTACATCCCTAGGAGTTCTCCTTCTCTCTCTCTCTCTCTTTTTTTTTTTTTTGAGACAAGGAGTTGGTCCAATAAAATAAATAAATAATTTTTAAAAAAGGAAATAGGAGGACCTAGGAATGGTGTAACACTAGAATGATCCTCAGTTGACAAAGGTGCATCATTGAGATTGTTTCCCTGCCTGTGAACATCAAGAACCAAAAATACAGAATGCTTCATGATTTTGCATGCCATGTTGCACAGGTGCCATACATATCTTCTCCATATTGTTTCAGTTTCAGTATATGTGCTGCTGAAGTTTTTTTTTTTTTTTTCTTTTAGTAGGATTTCAGTAAGTTGCCCAGGCTGACCTCAAACTTGCTGTCCTCCAGTCTCAACCTCCTGAATAGCTGGGATGCCACCACACCCAGCCACAAAAATCTTTTTTTATCTCTTTATTTTCAGTTTTAGATATACAGGAATTCCTTGTTCTATTTTTATATACCTTACCCCTACTATTCAAATTATTAACATTTTACGCACAATATAGTTATCTAAATCACTAATAGGTAGAGAGAAAATGGTCACATGGGTAACTTAAAGCCATTTGCCTTGTACTCACAGAAAGCTAATGGGGCTATTATCAACATAGCAGATTGTGCTTTGTGAGCACAATCCCCTTAGTCTCCTTTCATCTGTAACTGTTTCTCAGTTTTTGTCT